TTTTTTCGAGAAACGAAAAACAGAAGAGAACGTAACTTATACATAAAATATCGTCAAACAGTAGTTAATATTGATTAAATAAATCAATTTGAGTTGAGCTCTTCCAACATTTATGACCATAACCACGAACTGTTCTAAAAAAACAAATAAACCCCTAAGGAGTTAAAACACACAAAAAAACAAATAAGAAAAGTATATTAAACCACGCAAATTTTGTATAGAAAAAAACAAAGGATTGTTCCTAAGAGAAAATGCGAGTATTATGACAATTGGCTTCGTGGCAAATGATTTATGTAACGACATAAACTTGTTTCCCAAATTGATGTTACCCAGCTGAGAAAAAAACAATCAGACTTTTCCTCAAGGCCCAAACTTTCAAAATCCATCAGACCGGATTACAAGCCCCTAAAAATATAGGTATTATATAAAAATGGAGAGAAAAATCGTGAAACGAAGGCCTGAAAACAGGGCCAAGAATAAAATACGAGTCAAGATTTTCAATTTATTAAAAGCAAACACAATTTCGCAGGCTTCAGCTCAAGTACGAAAACAATAGTTACTTGGATCGAAAGAATTAGCTTTGGTGTAAGCTATGAGAGGTAAGCGGATTATTATATAACAATTGTTTAAAATAGTTAGTCTGATTTTGTTTTTCACACTTATTGTAGTGATGAATTAACATTTCACCAGCTTTCGCCAAATACGAGACATAGGATTTGTTAAATATTAAATAGCTTTGTAAGATTAAGGGAAATTATTTCAGATGTCTAGTTCTATATTTCGCCTTCATAATCTTTTCTTCAATTCAAATCTTGTAATAAGTGTCATATCATTTTGATATGGACAGAAAACGTTACATAGTATAAAACAAAGCTTGCTTGCTCAGCCCCCATATCGGTATGAATGCTTAAATCTTTTAAACTACACAACAGATTTTGATTCGGTTTTTTAACAGATACAATGATTGAAATGATGGATGATATGTATAATAAATCTATTAAATAGTGAGGAAATTTAGTTTTTCACAGCAATGCACCCGTGAGAAGCCGGAACAAGTCGCCACACATACACAGTACCTATACTATACATCATTTCCCTTCCAAATCTGAGGTGTCAATAAACAAAAGTCAATAAAGATTAGATCCAAACCATTAGCACTCATAAACTGTGGGAACCAAGACTTATCTGTACTAATATATTCATGTTTGATAGAGTAAAATTTTTATCCTCTCTCGGGACCAAGATTATCAATTATGAGTATTTAATCTTCCATTGCTGTCATGTTTCCGAACTTATTCCATGGCACTTAAATCAAGCCAGTAATCTATATCGATAATTTTAATCTTGAAAGATATCAAATAGTGGCAGTAAATTTTCTCAAGTGGTGATTAAATATTGTGTGAAAGGGTAAACATGTTTACTTTTATAGGTTTATTATCCTTTTCATCATCATTAGCTGTATCATCCTTATTTTTAGTTTTGTACAGAATTACTGCTATTGCAGTAAAATGAGCATATTGCCAGAACGTCAAAGTTTCAGAATCATTAATAAGAATATTAAGAAAACCAATAATATTTTTCCTGTCTCTTCGAATGATCGAACTTCCATTCGACCTAGGATGAAGATGAATCTAAATCGACAACTTCAATCCATTAAAACGCATCGATCTCAATTAGTAGAGATAAATCCTCTTGAGTGGTGATAAAATATAAAAATACACTATAAGCCCATACATTAAGTACCATAAACTTTACCAGTACAAGTATATTAGTCGAGGTTTTGTCCACAAGTTTGTTTGCTTGGCCTTTGGGAGTTAGAGGTATACAATTCTCAGTAACTATGTTATGTATAAAGTAATAATATATTCAAATTATGTTGGAAAGCGAACTGTATAATAAGGGTACGGAGGGTCAACGTTTGAGAACCAAGAAATGTGTTTAATAAGTCCAAGAAAGTTTTGGTGACTCGAAACTTATGTAATTGGACGTCAAGGACGTTTGTGTTCTAAACAATGGGTTGTGTTCTAGAAGGCAAGGATTATATTAATTTGTAAGTTATATTTAGAATAGAATATTTTAAATCTGACAATGACCACGTAACAAGTATGTTGAAAAACAGAGATTTTTGTGTCTACCAATTTGATGAAAATGTCATCAGTGTGTTTGCTATTGACTATACAAACTCGGTGTAATTTTCAAAAAGAAGAACTCAATTGTGATTCTCTAAGTTGAGGGTATAACTAAAGACCCATTACACTATTTATGTAAAGGAGAACTTATAAATGTGCATTGAATTAATAATATGGTATCACAATACAAAGCAGAAGCAGGTTTAACCATAGCCTATATTGAAAAAACTGTCCATACTTACCAAAGAGAAAATGCACCGTTAATTTTTCCAAAAGTTTCGATAGTACAAACAAATTATAGGAAAGATTCTTACGACGCCAAATTGTCGTATTTATCTGTTACTTCATGTCAAGCACTATACTCTGTTATCTTCACGCTCTTTTTCAATTACGACGTTGGCAGTATTCCAACCAGAAAGTACCAACACAATTCAACGGAATTGATGTTTTAGTTTAGTTTTTCTATTTCGCTTCCTTTTCCTTTATTGTTTTTCATTTGTGTTGTTACTCAAGTTCTGTCATTTTCGACGATATTAAATTGTTTTTATTTGTGGATTTAATATAACTTTCAGAATTAAGTTCCTAATTTGCTTGTTTTGTTAGTTATGTTTTGCATACATGTAGGTAGATTTTTTATTGCTTTATGAAGTTTTCAGTTTAGTAATTATGGTGTTAAATGGTAGAAAATCAATGAACAAGTTATGTTACCACCCCCCATCCTCAATCTTAACCTTATCTGAACCTTAAATACCTAATAACCCCTTAAGAGCCATTAACGCACTAAACTTGTAGTAACACCTTTGGTATTACGATAAATTAAAATAAACATAGTATCCTAAATTGCATTCGAAATAAATTCGGATATACAGCACGTATTCGCTAAATAGTAGAACCCAGTAATGGTTCTAAATCTCCAGTGAAAATGTGGTCAAGCACTAATAAGCGAAACCCCATACAATATAATTTGTCAAAAGGACCACAAATACCGCTAAACAGCTCTGTGATTAAAAGTTGTACTATTATCCATTTGTAGTCTCTAATTTTATTAGCTTCACTACTAATTTCTCTTCTATTCATTACTGACAACATCAATCAACCATTTCGTAGATATTCATTAAAAAAAACCTGTTATTTTTTGTGTGTAACTTTTGTATCTAGATATAGGATGCTGATGAAGGACAAAAGATATACTTTTGCCGTTTAGTTTGACATAAGTTAGGGAGAGCATTCTCTCTTCTCTTCAGAGTAAACTGGCATAGCAACGCGTGCGAGTTTCGCCATATCAGTGTAGTTATCGTTAGGCAAATCTTCTTCCCTTAACTGTAATACATCAATCATCAAATCATTGACTGCTAAAGGCCCGCAACGTAGGTACTTATTACTTCTCGATGTAGCTGTTTATGAGTGACACGGATTGCTAACCATTATTGTTTGATTCATTATTTCATTATTCTTTTTTGATACCAAAATATATCACAAATCTATACGTACTTCAAAAATCCCAGTATATTTTCTTATAACCGCTTCCCTCTCAAAACTTGGTCCACAAAATTCATTTTTTCCTCGCATGCTGCCCCTAACAAGCGTCTGTTTGTACGCTACTGTATCGTAATTTTGTGTGCCGTGTATTGATTTATTATTTCAAATTACACGCCGTATGGCTCAGGAAGATCACTTTATTCCAAAATAAGGTGGGTTATTGGAAACTTCCAATTTATTTTTGAGACCATTATTGGGTTAATGGATGTTGGTTTTCCTGGTTATCCTCGTAAGTGGTCTGGTTCGATTATTTTTAAAATAATTGCACGATCAACTGTGTTTTAACTATGCCTTGTTAATTTTTTGGAAATCATTTTTAATGGAGATTATTATGGTTGTCACACGTTGCAATCCTTATTTTCGTCATGACCAAGAAACAACAGCGTAGTCGAACGGCGGGTGCTGTCGCCTTGTGTCCGAGGAGGCTTGAGTTCGATCCTGGGGTCGCGTCATACTTTTTTCAAGTTTTACTTCGAGTTTTATGTGGTTTTAAATTTTGTCATATCCGTTCGGTTGAAGTCAAACTCAAATTTAATTCACTCGGCACTTGCAACATTTCTCTTGTCGAAAACGGACCTACGTTATTGCATTCATTGTGAGCTATGTCTACCGACATTATAGAATAAAATAAGTGCAAATTTATTAAATATAAAATTAAGTGAATTGTGATTGTGGATCATCCAAATAGGGGTAAGTCTTAGCTTTAAGGGGTGTCAGTACCCACAAATTAATTGTCAGCAGTAATTTATGAGTTCTGTTTTTATCATTGTTGTAGCCTTACCTACGCAACGCCCTTTAAGTTGGATGCAATTTGATGGGATCGAGCCATTAGGCAAAACAATAGCCCCTGGTTAACACGGCTACCGGGCATAGGTGTTGGCAGAGTTCACCAGGAATAATAACTCTCCTGGCGCCCACATTAGATAAGGTTTAGGTTAAGATTAGGTCTAGTTTGCAATATAAGCATTATAACATAACTTGTCACATTGTTTCATTTAAGTATGCATGTTCAACCCGTAACAAGATTAAGATGGATTTAAGTGGATACTTGGAAAAGGGTGGGTCTTATTTGAGACTTCGGCATTTATATGTAATTTGCCAGTGTAATGAGAATTGCCATCCACAAGAAACATGATATTAAAGAAATTAAATATTTCAAAATAAGAGAACAAATCGCAAGTCATGATAACAAATGAAATACCTTCCTTTCTATAGTTATGATATTGAGACATCTCTATGTCTGTAGTATCAATAGCACCATATTGTTATTAATTTTGTTTTCAAAATTGATTCGTAATAACAATCACATAAAGATTATATTTTAATACATACCTTTGATTCCAGAGCTGACTTGGCACTGATATTTAGCGTCGTCATCTAAAGTCACGTCTCTGATGTCCAAAGAATAGTCTCCTGTGAAAATAAAAAATGCATTAATGATAGGATTTATTTCAATCTTCTCTTGTAATACATCACTAGTTTAAAGAAAACAATAGATATGGCTAAATATTTACTATAGTGCAAGACCAACCTCTAGTGTTGCAGTTTCTCACACGAAGATGGTAAGAGCTTTGATTCCTACGCCTGATCCTTGGTCATTGGGAGATTGACAATTTCAAACTTATTATTAGAAGTTTTATGTCCAAGTTTCCTAATTACGTTTTTGTTCACCAGTTCACATTGATGATTATAGTATATTTAGAAAACTTAGGTAGGAACATGCTGTCTTAGGTACAGTTCATATTTTTTTATGAGTGATCAGCATTGCAATTCACTGGTAGTCTCTAGCAAAGTAGTAAATGATACTCTTAAAGTCATTAAATGTATGAACAAAATACGTGTAAACATAATATCATCCAGAATGAACTGGGCGGCTTTAAGAAAATGTTCAACTACAATGCAGGATTCAAATGAATAAACAATCATCAACACAACACACACATAATATTAGAAACTTTACAATACCGTATCTACTTTGTTTCAATGGTTTGTAGTTGAATATTTACATTTACTATTTCCTTCTGTGCATTGAATACAGATGTTTCGATTGTGTATGCCTTGTTACAAAACGTAGTTTCTGGTATTATTTTTTAATGTTTAGCTTGAAGAATACTCATTGTTTCTGTGTATGCTGTTACATTTATATTTTGTTTTATTATTGATTTGACGTGACCTTTTTTTTTAGCGATGTCTATTTACATTTACCTTCCTTATTTGATGAAATAATTGTAATTTTGAAATGAAATTTGAAATAAAAATAAAAAAAGAAAAAGTATTTAAATTAATAGGTAGGATTAGAAATTGCTTCAAGTGTTAGTAAATGTATGAAATTTTGTTCTGAGTTTGGCAAAAACCTCAAACCGCGATTCATTGACAGGGATGAGGTGTTTGCAAGTACACTTTGCATTCCCCTTCGTACAATAACTAACATAGTATAGCAAGATATCATACAAAAACAATCGAGACACTACAAAAATAACCCCTCAAAACAAGTAATTACACCCGTTTTTCTATTGGTAAAAAATATAATTACGAAAGATAAAATCAAACAAGACCCCGTTTTTAGTGTTAATTGTGAACAATTTATGAATAATTGATAGAAATATGTTTTTTGTAGCACTATTTTCGAATCAATCATTCAGAAAAATGGTAGCAAACGCAAAGAGGATAAATCGGTCGAATAAATTTCAGATATTAACATGGAAAGGTGACTCAGAGGACGTTAGAAGACGTGCTAGGACAAAAATACGAATTCTAATGGAGATATAAACTATTTTCGTATTTCTAGAAAAAACTTTTTACATGAAAAATTATGGTATGTTAAAGAATTAAATACTTTATCAGAGAGGTCATACAAACTGTTGTAGCAAAATAATAATTTAGGTAATTGATTTTTACCTTTGATTTTTATGGTGTTTTACAATACCTGTTGTGCGTGTAACTTACTTCTTTAGAAAAATAAGATTCATTAAAATACTGAAACAAGTTAAATACGGCAATTTAAATATTATAATCAAAAGAATCAGAAAAGTAATAAATAAATTTAGATGAAAATGTTGCGTTAACCCAAATAGCTATATTAAGGATGACTTAGTTTGTCCTTGAAGACATTAATGAAGATAAATAAGATACTCTAGAAGAAAATACACACATTAATTAACATTAGAGGTAAAATAAGGCACTAACAAAAACATAAAGATGTTTCGTGAAAAACAGACACCCATTTAGTGGGTAGTGCTAATTTAGTAATTGGAACAAGTCTTAATTAAATATAAGGATTAGGGAGAGTTTTATATTTTTATAACCATTTTAATATTCCTCTTATTTTACGACAGCTTCGGGAGTAGGTCTAAAAATGTAATCAAGAAATCTAGCGCTACCTATACACTGGTTATCAAATTTTTGTTAAGGTGGTTTTATGGCGTTCTGAGCCTGCTATAAAATTTTAAAAGCTGACGAAACAATAAGAAACTGAAATTGGTTTCGGGGGAGAATATTATTTGGCAAAAGTCATCAAATATAACACCATGGTTCTTACTTACTTTAGAGTGAAGCCCAAGGTACAGTCACAAGAAGAACAAAACCTGTTTCGAAAATTTTTCATTTGACCTAACTCAAATTAATTTTGCGCCTCATTTTACTACTGTTTTTTTAGGCAAACAGCCGAAAACATTACTGATAAAAACATACTGAATGCTAGTCAAAGAGAAGAATAGTCAAAAAATAGTTCATTACCACAAATATGTGACACCTAGAAATTTTCAATATCAACACTACAAGCACTATTTCAATCTGAATGCAGTTAACCGAATAATATCTAAGTCTTGCCAGCTACTCCAGAATCTAAGCCATCAAATTCAAAATGGCCGAATTCAAATGCCGTCAATTGACTTGAAGGCTGCAGATAATTTCTCGTGGTATTTCACTTCAAGAAATGTTTAGCTTTATACAAAAGACGAAATTCCCCTTTAGAATTCTACGCTACTGCAGTATTATTAAAGTAAATCGAATATTCGAAATTGGCTATCCATTTATACTCAGGGCCAGGTCTTGTAACTTTTACCATTGAAATTTCAATCTCCCGCGAGGTTTCGTTTCGGGCTTTGTGCAACGAAAAATCCTTCTTTATGCATTTTGAAATTATTATTATGATATTTATTGGTGGTATTAATAAATTAAAATGCATTCAATTGTTCAAAACTCTATCCTACTATCAACCATTCAGGGACTGAGAAGCGTGACTGACATACGCTGTGCGTTCTGAAAGACCCCATATTATTAGAAATTTAAAAAAGAATTGGAAATCTCAATGACATTTGTATCTGTCTCAATGTTTTGGATGTCTAAGTACGACAATTGCTGCATCGTGTATCACGTTATGATGCCCATGAATATGAGATCGTAACATGACTTTAATAGTAGTCGAGTACCTCAAACATTTACAGTAAAAGTTAGTGCCAACCAAATACATTGATCGTATTTAAATTCCCTTTGTCTAGGTCTCTGTGATTCTTCATATTTAGTAGTGACAGTTACAACTATCGGGAGGGTTTAAGTTCATTGCATTTCTATTTATGCTCTAAAGTAGTGTAGTTTAAGTTTAAGTTTGAAATAAGTATTTAAAGGTATGTATGTATAAAATATTGGTAAAAATATTGATTGATTAATATTGGTTATAAAGTTTGGTATAAAGTTTATTTTAGTCTAAGTTTAGTTTAAGGTCTTATCTGTCGCATTAGGGAAAACCCTGTAAAGATAGAATAGTTAGTTTAGTTTAGTTTTGAAAAAAAAATTTTTTTTCATAACACAAAAAAGTACTTTGTCTATTAGTTGCAGCCCTTGTTTAACGTTTGTAGAAGATTTATTTTTTAGTGGTTGGTCACAAAGTGTTTCCCATGGAACATTAGTTTCGAGTTAACGAGTTGCAACTGCAAAAAGCCACAAACAGTCGCGGCTACCAGTTTGTGGTAGTGTTAATAGCTTTTGTTCACAACAAACTGATCTTGGCGACACTTTATCTATTAAAGGGTTTCTGTTTCAAAGAACCCTTTTATTTACGGTTTTGTGAAGATAGTAATTTGTTAGTAAGTTTTTAAGTAGTTTAGATGAAGAGGTTGAGTTTTGAGTAATTCTCATTACAAAATTTGAGACAGGTGAAGTGCAAGAGTAGTGTGATTAGAACACTCAAAAAGTAACGATAACGAGTGGTATCACACTTGTGCTAGTCGTGAAGGCGTCGATAACAGCGCTAATTTCGAAGCGTCGTGTGTCGAGTATGAAAACGGTCCTAGCTTGGCTTGAAATTAGTCAAGTTCCTCTTTAAACAGTTGAGACAATAAACATAATTAACTTAACGAGTCTCACGAAAGTCATGACATAATAATTTAGAAAAGAACAGGTAAAATAAGAAAATACCTAAGGGGAAAATGAACAATTTTCACAATACCCAATATCTCGCTTCGAAAATAATACTATCGATCCAAATGTATCCAATTGTTTCCTCGTACTTACAAGGAAGGGTAAGTAGCTTAGCAAGTCCCAACGGACGACAACAAAATAAGGAACAATCTAGAAACACGAAATTGACTTGACTGCACAGTTGGCGCAGTGGCTGGGCAACCGGCAAATGTGAGTTCAGGTACGACACCATTCTTTGTGTGATCCACAAATTGCTATTTTGTGTCTGCGTGGTGTATTTATGAATAGGTTTATTAAACATTTAGGTAATATATAGGTACGTTAGCCAGAAAAATCTGTTAATATTTTCAGGTATAAAAGAACAGCCTGTGGCAGCTCATTACTAGACTACAAAATTCTTATACATAAGAGAGTGTCACAACCTTGACAGTGGGGTTGATAATCCCAGTACAAACGTTGAACGCTATGGATAATAACATGTGGGCCATGCTAATGCAGGATTTACCCTGCCAATAGTATCTGTCGGCAGACAATGACTTAATAGGTTTAAGTTTATTTCAGAGCGTTGTTACCCAGTAATAGTCATATGCAACGAATAAAATGATTGAAATTCTTACAGAAAGAGACAGTTCCATCATAATGATTATGGCTTAAATGCATCAAACATTTAATAAAATTTTAGTCGTGCTGTCCTGAGGATCCAGTGGCCTGAATCACAAGGTGGGTTCGAGACCTGGCAAGTACCAATGTTACTTTTTCCGAGTCATAATATGTACTTTTAAAGTTCAATTAGACACCTATAGACATACGGAGGAGAAAAAATAGTGAGGAATCCAGGACATTTTCAATTATAAGTTTGAAATTGCCAAACCGCCTTGAACAAGCGTGGTGATTAATACTCAAACCTTCTCTGTGTGAGAACAGGCCTTTGCTTAGCTGTGGACACTTATAAGCTGATGTTGTGAAATAAAATTGCTAATTACCTTCTTCATCGCTCCCGATCATCTTGTATCGGTCGTAGCCACTAAGTTCTCGATGTAGTCCGAGTCCAAAATCATCCTTCGTCCATTGCAGCTGACCTGCTTTGTTTTCTACTCTGCATGGTAACGTCACTCTCGATCCCACTACTGCCGTCTGTGAATAAAGGTTAGTTTTTAAATAATTATAACATTATTACCTATTATAAGAGCGGAGATTTGGATGACTAACTAGCCCTTCACTCCAAATACCGCTTGTCTGATGTTATAGGTGGTATCGATTGTTTATTTATTACTTCATGCACAAGTCATTGTTCATAGGGGGGGGGGGAGATTAATGCATTGAGCATTCTCTACCAGTCTGCCTATGGGTGATGCATTGACAATCCAGTGGTAGATGCAAAAACCAAACAAGTTTTTGACATTAGGTATTGGTTATTGTTACAGCATAAGATAAAAAGCGGATAGCTAATAAATTGTGTTTTAGTAACACATTGTCCTGAAATATTGTCTCAATGTGTGTGCATTTAGAAGCATACAAGTTCCCATTCACATTACTAACCAAACCCGGGACGATCTGTGGATCTTACAAAGGATTCCGTGGAAGATCAAAACCTAAATCTAAGTTGCGCAGTCAAAATATGAATCACTAAATAATGGCAACAGACCACACACTCATATAGACCTCATAACATAACTGATGAAACCTGGACTTACATTTTACAAATGGAACTCTGACTATCCCTAAAGCGAAAAATTTTTTTTGTAAGAAACTTAAAAAATTTTTCATGGCCTCCAACAATCAGAATTCTAATTTAAATAAAGTTAACTTAGAAAGATTAATTCTTAGAACCCAAAATGGTCTTAAAGGATTTTTTTTCTTAGAAATTAAAGTTTCTTAATCACTTGGTACTTATCGTATTGGATTCGTCCAGTTTATTTTATTCTCAGTGCTTGTATCAACACTTTTAAGTAATTTAATTTCTTTTGCTTCATTTTCGTTTGAAATTTAGAAGTTCTTACTACTTTAATTAATTCGGATAATTGATAATGTTCGTTAGTTGATTAAATTAATATTTGTTAAGGAGATAGCTGGGTACACAATGTCAGTTGTGATTGTAAGCGCAATAATGTAAAGTCTGCCTGCAGTAGGAGAAGAAACGGTAGTAGTAGTAGTAGTCTTTAGTCAGTGAGAGTCTGATATTCCTCTCATCCCACCCTGAGCTGGGTCCTACGCGAAAAAATAAATTTCATTGGTTTTTTATCAGACCGTAAAGGCAGAAGTACAAACTGTTTACCAGCGATATCAGATCAACTTTTCAAATATTGTTTTATGAATATCACCTGATATGACAAACTTATAGCAAAATTGCAGAAATTCGTGAAATTAGTAAGAAATTCTCGCAAAACAATCTCATTTTTGCCCAAAATAATAATTAGGTATGCATATATTTAGCAATTAAATCTATCATCATCCCATTATCGATGTAGATTATGTTTTATATGTACCTTTACTTGGATACTTCTAACACTATAAATGACTGCATTAAAATTCCAACTATTCTTAGACTTACGACTAAATTACCGGGAAGTGTCGTCTACAAAGCACCGAAATTCCCTTCCCTCTGATACCTCGCTGCAGTCCGATAGCAACTAATGACATGTGTCTATTTCAGAGGCGACAGTCATTTTCGTCTCATTTCCCGTTTCCTACATCCGCATTGCTAGAGGTGTGGTCTCAATTTTAGCTCTTATTGTGTTACTTGAAAACTAGATTTCGATTTTGGTTTTTTGAGGACAAAGGTGGAAGATTTGGTAGAGGTAAATCGGATTTTTTTATATATTATTGCTCACTTGGAAATAATGGAAGTCTTAGTGCCAAAAACAATCTAATGAGTAATTAAAAGACTAAATATTCTTTAATGGATATTTTTTTTATTAGCAGTCTACCTACTATAAGACAATAATAATTTTAAGGATGAAGACTTGAGTAATATTCTTGGGAATTGAACCCAAAAAAATCTCAGACAGACATCCATAGCTAAACAATTACTTAAAAGAACGAAAATAAAAAGAAAACAATTACCTGATCCTGAGGCTCCATTGCGAACTTCTGCTCCTGATAACCACTACACTCACCAAAAACACCAAATAACACTGTACAAAATCCAAATATCACCAAATTTTGAGTCCGGAGCAGGAGAAATAATGGTGTAACTCCCCTACTCGTTAGTCTTAACCTAAAACTATATTTCAACAGCATGATATCCACACTACACAAAATTATCCGTATGCCAACATAACAAGGAAATCCGGATTTTAATTTTAGACATTCACATTTTAACGGAAGCTTCAGTATACCCTAAATGAATGGTCTATTTTTACACTGCACCGTTTTAAAGGGAATGCCATGTTTTATTTTTAGACGCGTTTCTAATAAAATGATTTATTTTTCTTCTCTTTTTAAAAGCACTCGCTGATATGTCGTATCTGTAACAAAAAGAAAATGTTCGGGTTAATTAATTGTGTTAAAGTGAGCTGATGAAAAAGTATTTCTATAATGTATACCTATTATTAATTTTAATATGAGTTGATGAAAATTATTTTTGTGATGGATATTTATTTTCGGGTTTTAAATGAACGCTTGTCACGTTTGCTGTCACTTAGTTTTTGACAACGTTTAATTTATATCCCAATGTTTTTGCAGATGGGATTGTTAATTTAAATTATGGAGTTATTAATGTGATTTTTGTTTGATCTTTTCGTATAATTATTTTTATGTAACGCGACAACGTAGTGTGGAGTTAAGCTGACCACATTTTTCCACGTTTTTTTATAGGACGACAAACGAGTCTCTGCTCGTTTTACCACAGATTACCTGATGGTAAGCAATCGGCACCGTCCATTGATACACCCTACACCTTTGCTGGCCTTTTAGGGATAAGGGTTTCGATTTCATATACACATCACGCCCAGACTCGGAACAACAATATGTGGATTTGTGGATCACACGTGCGGGAACCGAAACCGCGAGACGTTGCGCGGCAGCCAGTTGCCTACCCACCGCGCCAACCGTGGGCCAATCAGCATAATCAATAGGCCAGTTATAAGACTCACTACTGAACATGTCCTTTCCTCAAGAACTTGACCAGCAAAAAGGTTTCATCTGCACACAAGTGTCAACGACATTGGTACGCCACTTAAGTAAAAAAATCGCCTTCCGAATTATGTAGTGTATCAAATTCTTTAATTTTATTATATTTACCAATCGCTTTAGATGAGTCAGAGGAAACGTGAGTCATCAATTGAATCAGACTTATAAAATTTAATATTTATACGCAAAACGTTTTGTTATTTAGGTCGCATTCCGTTATAAAGTATTACAATAAGAATAAGAACAAACAAAGGGCTCTATTTATAATTTGATATAACATACCCGAGTTTTACGACTTCTATATTATATATTTTCTATTTTCTTATATCCATTTATCTTAAACCAGGTTTTATGATATAATATAAGTGTGGGAGAGCCATTCTTCGGCACGAATGGGTTGGCTCGACCGGAGTGATACCACGGCCTCATAGAAAACCGGCGTGAAACAACCACAGCGTTGTGTTTCGCCGTGTTAGTGAGGTTACCGGAGGCCCATTCCTTCCCCGCCCCCAATCCCTCCTCAATCCCTAAATCTCCAAATCCCTAATCCCTAAAAGGTCGGCAACGCACTCGTTACTCCTCCGTTGCGTGTGTCCATGGGCGGCGCTGATTGCTTACCATCAGGTAATCCGTCTGCTCGTTTGCCGACCTATTACATAAAAAAATGATATAATTTTTTTAAAACGTTGTTCTAAACTGAGATTCTCTTGTGTGTTGTGGCTTCGTTTACAAACATACTACTTACTTAATATACATAGCACACTCAGATCCGGAAGAGTAATTAGTTCTTTTTATGTGATATGACGGCAAACCTGACAGATTACCCAAAGGTAAGCAATTTGCGCCGCCCATAGGAACCCGCAACACCGGAAGAGAGTGCTATGCGGGCTTTTTGGGGATTGGGATTTCGAGATTCGAGAATTGAGAAGGGATTACAAAGAGTTGTTGTTGCGAGAACCTGCGATACATTGCACGGCAGCCAGTAAAGTTGCCCAGTCATGTAACCTTAGATACAAAAGTAGAACAGATACGTTTCTCAAAACAAAAACTAAAAATAATATTGTTATCGAACCACATAAAAAAGAGAATCCTTGCAAGTTCGAAACTTTAGCACAACGTGCCCACAAGTTGCCCGTTAGCCCCACTTTGCAAAGAGAAGTCTAAAAATAATAAATTACTAAGAAAACATAAAGTTCCCTGCAAGTTTGAAAGCAGAATTGTTCTAGTCCCCTCTCGTACTCTAGCTCTCATAAACTGATCACTTGTTTTCTAGAAAATTCTTGCGATAAAAACTATTTTCCTTCACAGTTTCCCGCTTGAGGGGAAGATTGAGAAAATCGAACTATTTGCTCGATTTTTTTATTCGTAAATGTTGATCGTTCCTTCTTTGGAATATTCTTGTGTATTATATTAATTTTTCAAGGTTAAGATTTGTCTGAGTGCTTCTCAAAGATATTCAGAAAAAGGAAGATACAAAAAATATTTGGGCATTTAGGATGTTAACCTCTCAATTGAGATAATTCGACTATAATCTATCTCACTGCTAAGTTTTATCAAAATCAATCTCTGAACAGATACACTGAATCATGTGTTTGGTACTCTCTCACGTGCAAAATAGTTTTTACTGTTTTTCTGGTAAGTACATAAGTACATTCATGCATGCATACTCACATCTCATATCTTTCGCGAAATAACAAATACTTATTTCAAAGAATACAAAGCATTAAGTAAACATTCGTTTTATTTTATACATACTACTAGCTACCCGGTTTTTCCCTGTTGCAGTGCTGATACACAATTTCTTTTCTATTTAATGGATAGTATTATACATGTCATAAAATTTTCATCTTCAATCACTCACTATTAAAATAACCGCATCAAAATCCATTACGTAGTTTTAAAGATTGAAGCATAAATACATAGGGATATAGGGTCAGAGTAATTGACTTTGTTTTATACTATGTAGTAACCATTTATCAGATTTATAATTAGGTCGACTAAACAAACAAATCCAACACAAACTCATCTAAAATATCACAAAAATTAAAAATTCATCGCCAATAATAACCACATTTGTTTCGTCCATCATCACTGACCAAAATAACCCAGCATTTGGCCAACAGCTATGACAGACAGCAAAATGCATTCAGAATTAATATAATATTTAAAAGCAGGGCTATTCCAAGGCTTTTACATTATATAATGAGACTAATTGAGTCTATTAGCCAGTGAAATAATTCATCAGTTTGATGGTTATTCCGTGTATCGCTATTATCGTTATTTCAAGCTAATTTCGTCTATATTGTTGTTTTAGTATCATTTTCATAATTCCTATTAGCAACACTGAACCTGAGTGTTAACACTGAACTACTCTAAATAGCGAAAATGGCAGAAGTTGTGAATATCTGAATTAGTTATAATTCTTTCCTTATAAATATTTGTTGACCCACATTCTATTAATTAGAACGGACGAATTAATCTTAGACAAAAAGTTTACTAGCATAATTATCTTCTAAAAATTTAATATATTAGTAGGTGAATATTTTGTCTTTTTCTAGTTTATTATTAACTAGCAACCCACCCAACTTTACAGGGCTGTAATTCTGATACTATGTATGTATTAAAATGGATGTTACATAACCTCGTCGATCAATCTATCTACTAAAAATAACCGCAACCGACGTGTGGTTGTAAAGATTTAAGCATATATAGGGATATATGGACACAAAAAATGAATTTGTTTGAAACTATGTAGTGATAAAAAGTATTACAAATTCACAGGTAATATCGAAGAATGTCCACCTTAGCCTAGCATAAAAAAATACTAGAAATTCTTACTCGGCAAATGCTACCTGCAATCAAAGCATTAAAGGCAGTCATCAATTCGCCATTCAACGTCGACACCACACTTTAAATTAAATACTCTACGTCAAACAAAAAGAAACAATAAATACATTGAGTGAAGGTTTTAAATGTTTTGAAACAATCTCCTTAACATTCTGTAGCAAAGTTTTGTAGTTGCAGTTTGTTATTAACTGGTTCTGGTAAATTGTGTTTTTACTGTCTAGTAAACAAGTAGGGTTTGGCGTTACATTTTTCTATAGCGAATCTGATTTTAATGGTTATGGATAGATAGATAGTTTCGGGTATTAAAGAAATGCAATTGTTGAATAAAAATATAATTTTAAATTCGATCATTATAGTATCATAAAAATTTGCTATTGCATCGATTTTTTAAAGAAAATAATTAAATAACGGAACGTAAGTACATGGCTTTTGGGTTATGGGGCTAGGCGCTATAAGGTACCGCTGAATCGGCCTAAAGTAGGAGAATGAACGGAGGGGTTTTTAGTCAGTAAGAGTCTGACACTCCCTCTCGCCTTATTAGGCAAGACAAGACATTTGATGATTTTCTCCTTGCAAAAAAGGTATAACGCTTTTAATTACTTATCTGTGGTCTGTAAAAAATACTAAAAAGATTAAATATTAATCATTCCTCTATGGTTGTATATCTCCTATATTGTTTTCAATATCATTAAAAATAAAAACGCTTTCAAAATTGGAATTCTAAGAATTCGAATAAAATTTCTAAAATAAAAAATGCACACTTATTTTCTATAATTTACGAGTTAGCGTGCCACCTCGGCGTTGTTTCTATGTAAAACAAATCCTAGCAGAACGACTTAAATAATAAAAACTGGAACAAACTAATTGTCATAACACAATTTAGAACTTGTTTAAAATAAGCTTACGACCAATCCATAGCCTCCAATGAGACTAATGGCCTAATAATTAGAGTAGTCTGTAATATTGAGCCTAGACTACGGTAATATATAGACTCATGAATAATTATACCATTTTGGTCTGATTCCCATGGCACTTGGTATTTCTAATAGCGCGATTAAATATAATGATCCAGTGTTATTTGCATGTCTTAGGAAATGGTGGCA